TCGTACATCAATAAATATGCTAAAAACGTGGTAACATCACGCATCTCCACAAAAATCCTGCTTTCACTAGGAATTAGTGCACTCCCTCCCTCCTATATACCCTGAGTCTCATTGCATAAAAAAAATTTAAATGCTTTTAGTCACCTCCTCTTTCATACATTTTCAATATCTGCCACACGGCTCATCTGTCCACTGTTACATGTCTTTTCTAAATCCATATAAATGCAACAAGCAGCTCTTTACCATTATTTGCATACAGTTCGCTTATATGCTTCAATGTAAACGCTCGGGCTTCATATGCTATGAAGCAGTTGAACAGTCTCGGGCCCACAACACCATAGGTGTCAGGGACCCAAGACTGTTCAACTGCCTCCCAGTATACATAAGGGGGATTACAAATAGACCCCTGGTTGTCTTCAAGAAAGCGCTGGACAGGCACCTAAAGTCAGTACCTGATCAGCCGGGCTGTGGTTCGTACGTCAGTTTAAGTGCGGCCAGCAGTAACAGCCTGGTTGATTAGACCCTGATCCACCAAGAGGCTTGGTCTCAGACCAAGACATGGGGCATTGACCCCCAAAACCCTCTCCAGGCAATCTCCAAGTAATCCCTTACCCTTCATAAATCCTCCCTGCTGCTCTACATTCCTACTTTCTTTATTACCTCTAACCCTTTCAATATAATAATTTTACTGTATACTATACCCAGTATACGAAACATGACTTTTTTTTATTAACACATTGGTCACTTCCCACCAAGGCAGGGTGGGAAATGGCCAGAGGCGTGCCAACACTACAGTTCAAAAACTGCAACATACATATGTCCACCCCTTCCTCAAACCACAGTCACTGTACTTACCATCTCCAAGACTCAAGTCCGGCTAACTGGTTTCCCCTGAATCCCTTTACAAATGTTACTTTGCTCACACTCCAACAGCACATCAAGTCATGAAAACCATTTGCTTCCACTCATTCCTATCTAACACACTCGTGCATGCTTGCTGGAAATCTAAGCCTCTCACACGAAGCAAGCCTCCTTTACCCCCCCCCCCCACCTTCCAACCTTTCCTAGAATGACCCCCTACCCTGCCTTCCTTCCACTACCAATTTATATGCCCTCCAAGTTATTCTATTTTGTTCCATCCTCTATATATTTGAACTACCTTAACCCCTCAGCCTTGTGGATACCTTTTGTAACCCCGCACCTTCTCCTAATCTCCAAGCAATGGATTCTCTGCATAATTTCACACCATACATTGCCCTCAGACACAACATCACTATCTCCAGCCTTCTCCTTGGGGCAACATTCACCACCCATGTGTAACATTAAACCCACATAAGAGTGTTGGTACCACTACACTATCATACATTCCCCTCTGCTTCCATGGAATCTCCCCCTATAATTTTTCCTTCTATTTGGTATACTTTTCCCTTATACAAAGGAACTATGCATGCTCTCTAATATTTGGAGGATTTATTATTAACCCGTAAACTGTCCAAACGTAGATCTACATTTTTTCAACATTCGAATGTAAAAAAAACTTTTCTACTTTTTTTTTTTTTGTTATATTTGAAAATATGTAAAAAAAAAACAGATCTACTTTTGGAGCACTACGCATGTGAACGTAGATCTGCTTGGACAGTTTAAGGGTTAACCCTTTGACTGTTTTCATCATATATGTAAGTCTTACAAGCCAGTGTTTTTTGACGCATTAAAACGCCAAAATCCTAGCGTCTTCAAATCGAACAGGAGAAAGCTGGTAGGCCCACATGTGAGAGAATGGGTCTGTGTGGTCAGTGTGCATCACATAAAAAAAAATCCTGCAGCACGCAGTGCACGAGAAAAAAAAACTTCAACCATGTATTTGGATTAAAACGCAGACTTTGGGGTGTATTTTTGTACAGCATTTATGGTTGTATTCTCGTTTTCTTGAAAGACATATTACAGAAACAGAGATTTTGATTGGTTTCATGATGAAAAGGACCTTGAAATTGAGCTCAAATTAGCGGAAATGTTCGATATTTGCAGAGGTTCAAGAGTAAACAAATGACATCACCATCCAACATATGTCCAACTGGCAATTTTAATACGCAGTCACGAATGGGTTGACATTATTTATACAATTATTCCAATAATGCAGTAGTCTGTATAACAGTAGATCTTCTATTTTTTGTGTAAATAAAATTTCAAAATAGAAAGCACGAGTAATATAAGAGGGGCCTGGAGACGTGGCTAATGAACAGAGAAAATGTTATTTTAGTGCCAGGAATGTTTGCATTGTTTATTCTGGACCCTATTTTGAAATTGGCATATTTTCTAATTTGCGTGAAATTGACCAAATTGCCAGTTTCTGACCACTTTATTGGGTAGTTGAAAATCAGTAAATGGGCGGTTTCTTGTACTCAGTCGATAGAACAAATGAAGTTCTAAAGAAATAGCTATGAGTTTGGTTGAATGGAACAATGGAATTGGCCGAAAATAGGGTTCAAAGTGGTCGAAATCGCCAATGCGTATATATCGCAGAGATCGCTAATTTCGCGAGTGTAATTCTGTGAGTTTTCCATCAAATTTCGTACTTTTGGTGTCATTACCATCGGGAAAAGATTCTCTATCATTTCATAAGCAGAAATTTTTTTTTCTTGAATATTTTACAACACAGACACTTCAGGATTTGGGGTCGCAACAGTCAAAGGTTTAATATAATAAAAAAAAAAAATTCACCAGATAATATAAATAGAAATAGAAATGCCTGGTGGCTAAAGCTCTCGCTTCACACGGCGAGGGTCTGCGTTCAATTCCCAGCGCAGGTTGAAACACTGGACATGTTTCTTCACGCTAGTTGTCTATGTTCACCCAACAGTAAAATGGATTGATGGACTGAACACATCGACTCCAGGCTGAGGGACTGATTACCTCAAACTCCTCCTCTCCTTACGCCCTTCTACTTTGTATTGGACTGATGAAGCCACTGTGTGGCGAAACGTTTCCTGAATAAAGATTCCCATATGTTGCATAAGTGTCTCAATCTTCAACTTGTCGGTATTTCAAACCATTCATCACACAGTAAAATGGGTATCTGGGAGTTAGTCGACTGGTGTGGGTCACATCCAGGGACAATGATCTAATTTGCCAGAAATGCTCTGCATAACAAGGAGCTTTCTATGTAGTAGTATGTCACTGATGTCAGCTAGACCTATATACCATATACGTACATGTATTTGTAAGATATCATTATTCAACTGGCCAACTATCACAGGTATGCCAGTATGCAGTCTTCATGTATAGCCTTTAGTCATACAAAGCTTTACAGCCTCTGAGGAACATGCCTGTAGCTTTAGTATAGCCCTCTTCAAGGAGTAACCCCTAGCAACAGGAAAGATGAAGCAAAGAATAAAGACAAAATAGTGACTGGAACAGTACACAAATATCCTGGTCCAAGTCAGACCAAAACGTTTGTCTCCTACAAAGTGGCTATTTGTGTAAGGCAAAATAATCTAAATTTATCCTTCCATTCTCATCCCTTTTTAATAATCCCATTCTATTTTTCTTAGAGGTCTCCCAAAATTGCAACCAGCATCTGATATTTTTTTTTGGGGGGTAAGGGGCAGAGTATGGGGTGCTTGAAATTAAGCATTGTTCATTCCTTGAATACATACTGTTGGTGCACTATTTGGGGATTGTAAAAAAAGCATTTATTTATTATACTGTCCCAAAATATTATACTTTATTTTATTATCACACTGGCCGATTCCCACCAAGGCAGGGTGGCCCGAAAAAGAAAAACTTTCACCATCATTCGCTCCATCACTGTCTTGCCAGAAGGGTGCTTTACACCACAGTTTTTAAACTGCAACATTAACACCCCTCCTTCAGAATGCAGGCACTGTACTTCCCATCTCCAAAACTCAACTCCGGCCTGCCGGTTTCCCTGAACCCCTTCATAAATGTTACTTTGCTCACACTCCAACAGCACGTCAAGTATTAAAAACCATTCGTCTCCATTCACTCCTATCAAACACGCTCACGCACGCCTGCTGGAAGTCCAAGCCCCTCGCACACAAAACCTCCTTTACCCCCTCCCTCCAACCTTTCCTAGGCCGACCCCTACCCCGCCTTCCTTCCACTACAGACTGATACACTCTTGAAGTCATTCTGTTTCGCTCCATTCTCTCTACATGTCCGAACCACCTCAACAACCCTTCCTCAGCCCTCTGGACAACAGTTTTGGTAATCCCGCACCTCCTCCTAACTTCCAGACTACGAATTCTCTGCATTATATTCACACACACATTGCCCTCAGACATGACATCTCCACTGCCTCCAGCCTTCTCCTCGCTGCAACATTCATCACCCATGCTTCACACCCATATAAGAGGTTGGTAAAACTATACTCTCATACATTCCCCTCTTTGCCTCCAAGGACAAAGTTCTTTGTCTCCACAGACTCCTAAGTGCACCACTCACCCTTTTCCCCTCATCAATTCTATGATTCACCTCATCCTTCATAGACCCATCCGCTGACACGCCCACTCCCAAATATCTGAATACATTCACCTCCTCATGTCTCTCTCCCTCCAATCTGATATCCAATCTTTCATCACCTAATATTTTTGTTATCCTCATAACCTTACTCTTTCCTGTATTCACTTTTAATTTTCTTCTTTTGCACACCCTACCAAATTCATCCACCAATCTCTGCAACTTCTCTTCAGAATCTCCCAAGAGCACAGTGTCATCAGCAAAATATTATAAGTATCATGAAATTTTGCTTTAACATTGATTTTTGTGCATGCAGCAATAATTAGAATAGACTCTGAAACTGTGTGCAATATAACCCACTGGCAATTTGAAACAAGACTGAACAGCATAAGCCTATCTCTACTTGGGTAACTACAATAGGTAATTACAGATGGACACAAAAATATTTATCATAAAGTTCCCAGATCCTAACAGCAGCAGCTTGCACTTGTTTTGACAGCAATGGAATTAATAATACAAGTTAATGCACAATTTTCAAGAAATATTTGATCAAGTAATTACAATTTTATTGCACTATTTTTATGCCATTACACTGTAAACAACATGCAAATTAATATCATTAGAAGAAGTCCATAGATTACACATTCATATTTGTTAAACCTTAAACTTTCATTTATAAAGGCAAAATTTTGAAACTCGGTATAAAGCAACCGTGAAAAAAAGGTAAACACAAACACCTCGATTATATCCACACATTTTACAGGTGAACATTTATTTCAAGTTATTCCTCACTCTCCTTCCCAATATTAATTTGTTTTATCATTGTCCCTGCACCGATTCCCAGATTCCATTTGAATTAATTATATACTTTTTAGATTTCTTGCCAGGAAAGAGTGTTTCCTGTGGGTTAGGATGATCCACAAAAATTTTAAAAACTTTCCTAAGATCCTGACAAAATTCAGGAGGCTCAACTTTTGGAGAAGTAGAAAAATTTCTTAATAACAGATCATCTGGAAGCTGAAGATATACATTGAACCAATCCATACCTGAATAATAAAAAGGATCAATACTTATTGTTCCAGAAAGATGGTCATATATGTCATACAATTTTTTGTCCCCAGAAATCCAGCGAGAAGCTGATCTGAGAGGCAAGTTTGGCTCGTGTGATTTAAAACATGCAGGAAATATAGATCCAGTCAACACTTCTACACCCACACCATATACAATTGGCTGTGGTCCACTGCTTCCCTCCATTGTGTTTAAACGACAGGTACACCACAAGGAGACTTTGAATAAACACTTATGACTGATCAACATAGCCAATATTTTCAATGAAAGATGTTCAGCTTCCTTTTTAGAGGCCTCTTTACTACCTTTCTCTGGCATATATCCTCCAACAACATACAACTGAAGTCCATCTGAACCTCTCTCAATATTTGTGATCTTCTCAACCATGGCATTAATGGCTGCCACTTCATTTTTACTACCATCAAAGTGAGCTAGAGCAACAGTTCCAGCTGGGTGTCTGATGATAACAATGTGACAAGTAGTGGCACTATCAGAACCTATTATCTTAATCTTTGAATCTGTTCCAGGCACAACACCAAATTCACCTTGTGATATATACAAGGAAAACTCTGGTTCTACCACTTTCAAATTTTGGTGAGCAAAATTATATCCAGTTTCAACAATGCTAGGGTAATTGCTATAGAATTCATCTGTAGATTTCGGACACTTGATTAAGGCAACTCCTTCAATTACTATAACCATATCTCCCTATGTCAGAACGAATCATTCACTATTTCATCTATCCTCTGCGGTGACTATCTTTCCTAGTGCATGTCTTCAGCCAGTCCACCCTGAAAGAGAAGAGGGAATTTGTCTTCCAAACAACAAGATCAAAATTTTGAAGACACAAGACACCATTTAAGACACAAATTTAACTTTATAACTAAATACAGAATCAATCAAACAAAAAAAATTTAACAATTGTATATGTATGCTCCAGAAAGACAGTGCAAAAGTACACATCAAATTTTATTAATTTAAGCTTCATCTGAAGTCCAGTACCACTAAATTTCCTCCTATCCTGAAGTATCCAATAACACTACACACAAAAAGCAACAAAAACTGATTTGTATCACATTACATAAATGTTAAGTCACTGCTGAACCACCTTTGTACCGCAGTAGCAGCATTGGGAATTTGTTTTGAGAGAAAATTTCTAGCTTAAAAGTGCCAGCACATCAAGTCAAATTTCCCTGTATGATAATGCTACCCACGTAGATGCATCAAAAACTATCCTTCGTTTGCCAATGTTGCAGTTTTTAATAAGGACAAGTGTGTTAACATGGCACTATGTTAGACAAGAAAACTACCTTTTTAGAAATCAACATAAGCCTTAATAGAAGCCTTTTGCTTAACTTGATTTGGAATAATATATGAAAATTTTTCAGCTTGATAATGGCTTTCGTAATATTCAAAATTTATGTTTATATAAGAGAATTTAGAATTAGCAAGCTTTACTTGTACAGTCAGGTATACAGTAGACTGTCATTTAACACAAGTTTATTTGGCATGATTCGGGTATAGCACGATTGAAGAATTGCAGCACAATTTTATACAATACTTCGTAAAATTAATTTAACACGGTTCAGTTTGCAGGAGGGGAAAAGAAATTCCCTTTTCTCAAGCGGCCGCCTTGTTGTGGATCAGCAGGAGACACCTCCCGCCATCCCCTGCCCCCCCCCCCCCCGACACTCCATCCCAGCATTTGTACTTCATTCATGTCCAGTTCCACGTCTCTCCTACAAGCTAGCCGTGTTTGTGAATTGTTTTGATCATTTAATTACCATATCTTGTATCTGCCAAGCAATCATGACACCCAGTAGGCATACCAGTGTTGCTAAAAGTGGCAAGAAAAGGTATAAGCATTTAAGTCTTAGAATTAACAAAGAAAACAGATATTAGACAAGAGATAACCTGTGGCCGTAATGAAGCTCGCTTTGTGCACATAAAATGAGGTAAACATGAGTGTGTGACTGACTTACTGAATGACTGACTGACTGAATGACTTACTGACTTGACTGACTGAATGACTTAAAGTTAGACTTTTTCACTGAAAAGGACCCTGAAATGGTGTCTAGAGCAGCTGATGCCTTACCATCAATTGTATAATGTACTACAGGGTAAAACAGAACAGAAGTCCATTACAGAATTTATGCACACTCCAGTACAACCATTGACTTCAGTACCAGAACCTCAACCGTCCACCTCAGTCCAGTAGGGCCACAACATAACTCTCCACTCTCCACAATCATCCACAAACACCAGCACCCACAATTTAAAGCAAGAAATACTATTGTTTCTGTTGCATTTGTAATCTCGTGCAGTAAAAACAACACAATACATCACGGCAATGAACTACAATTACATATTCACTTTTATTTTTGTAAGATGTGAAGACCTAAAAAAAAGTTTGGCATTTTTGGGGCTCCCGGGAATGTAACCCTAACACACAACTGAAGTTTACTGGATGCTCTACCCCCTAGCCTTCAAAACCAACCCTTCTTGATACTACCCCTACTCCTACCTTCCACCCCAGATTTATACACCCTCTTCATCATTCTCTTCTGCTTCATCATCTTCAAACACCAAAACCATCTCTGACTAATGCATGAAATCACCTCCCTGTCTAATACATGAAATCAACAACTCTTCAAAATATTTTCCATTCCAGTACCTCCACCTTTCCCATCTAACATTTTCCCCATATGCACAGTTATAAACAACTGGGACACTAATACTGGGACCTATAAGTTAGAGGTTCTGGTAGGAGCCTCCTTCACAAAAAAAAAGGGTGTAATTAAAGAGTATAACTTTTCTTCTGCAATATTCCCTGTTATGCAAATAATTTATAATCCTATAGCAATACACTACAGTACATAACAAAACTAATTTCACATACACTACTATACAAATGCTTGGAAAGTACTGTGTAAATATAATCACTGGAACAACAGATAATTTGAACCTCCTCAGATCTTAAATGTATATTACAAGCATAACAAATTTAATACAAGGAATACTGCAAAGTATTCTAAGACAGGGGAAATAAAATGGAAATGTCACTATCTTGCTATGCCCAAAATTCAACATGAGAAATCAGGTTAATGCCCAACAAGATCTAACAGTTCAATACGTTATATAGTACAGTAGAGCCCCACTTATACAGCAGATTAGTTTCAAGGCTACCACTGTAAAGTGGAACACCATTTTTTTTTCCCCACTTTTAAGTGCATACAAATGCACGATAAGTTTACACCAACATATATTAAGTTAATCACAGAACCATGCATTAACAAAAAATTAAAATACAGTAGGGCCCCGCTTTTCAGCGTTCCACCTTATGGCATTCTGCTAATACGGCAATCTCAAATTATGACCAAAACTTTCTATACGGCAAGCGGTCTTTCAAATACGGCGCGCGCCACCCAGTTTGTTTACATTCTCCATGAGCACACCTTTTTATTATGTAATAATAATCACCCTGGGGCACATTAAATGTCTAATTTTACATCAATATTAATCCCTCTTTAATACTTGACGTGCTGTTGGAGTGTGAGCAAAGTAACATTTATGAAGGGATTCAGGGAAACCGGCAGGCCGGACTTGAGTCCTGGAGATGGGAAGTACAGTGCCTGCACTCTGAAGGAGGGGTGTTAATGTTGCAGTTTAAAAACTGTAGTGTAAAGCACCCTTCTGGCAAGACAGTGATGGAGTGAATGATGGTGAAAGTTTTTCTTTTTCGGGCCACCCTGCCTTGGTGGGAATCGGCCGGTGTGATAATAAAAAAATAATAAAAAAAATAATCCCTCTATGATATTTTCTTCAAAATTATATAAGAAACACATTACATAGCATATAAACATGCTGTTTATAAGCTATGGGGGAGTGGTTGCCGGATGGAGGGAAAACATTATGTAATACTAATAGTAATCACTCCTGGGCACATTAAATGTCTTATTTTTCGTTAATATAGACATTTTCATTAATCCATCTATGATATTTTCTTCAAAATTATATAAGAAACACATTACATAACATATAAAATTTTTGTTTATAAACTATGGAGGTGTGGTAGCCGGGCGGAGGGAAAACATTACGTCATTCCCCTTAATACATAACGCTTTTGTTTACAATTCTCGGCTTGAATTATTCGTTACTTCTCCCTTTGTTTATGATGGCACCTAAAGGTAGCTGTTAAAAATGATTAAACACGGTGAACAAGGTATGTCGATGGTTATAATATGGCTCTGGGCCGCTATGTAGGTAGGTGTAGGTATGTAGACCTGGTGGACTACATACCTACATTATTATTATAACTGATTATTATATATACACGTACCTGTACCTAAGTATGCCTTCACTCAAGGCGTCATTTCTTCTAAAAATAATGTTACATGAGAATGGGAGTGTTTCTCTTTATTTATTCCACTATATCAACGTGGAGACAACTTGTACTCAATGTAAAGTGACCAAAACCAGACGCGTTCGTCTGGTTTGTTTACATTATGTGTGGGTGGGGTGGGGAGGGCTGCATTTCCTGGATACCCATACTTCCCAACCTGACCATACAAATAAAACTCACCTCTCACCCTACATTAAGACTACAAATATTTTAAGGTAATAATGAGTGTACTGTATATGCATTTTATCGCTCTGGGGAGCTTTAATTAAATATCGTAGTGCATTATGTGTGGGTGGGGTGGGGAGGGCTTCTGTGGCTGGATTCCATACTTCCCAAACCTGACTTCCTACATATAAAACTCACCTCTCACCCTACATTAAGACTACAAATATTTTAAGGTAATTAATGAATGTACTGTATATGTATTTTATCACTCTAGGGAGCTTTAATTAAATGTAGTATATTACGTGTGGGTGGGGTGGGGTGGGCTGACCTGGCTGGCTACCGTACCTCCCAAACCTGACTTCGACAAATTTAACTCACATCTCGCCCTACATTAAAATACATACAAATTTTGAGGTTACTAATGAGTGTACTGGGTTGTATTTTACTTTTTATTGTTTTTAATGCCTATTTCTATTGCTAACGTAATATGTGTTAGTGTAAACTTGTTACCTGGCATTTATTTGCATTTACAAGTGGAAAAAAAAGGCGTTCTGCTTTCCGGCGATGTCCGCTTTCCAGCAGTAGCCTGGAACCTAACCTGCCGAATAAGTGGGGCCCTACTGTACTTGCACAGTACATTCACTGCTTACCTTAAAATATTTGTAGTCTTAATGTATGTTGAGAGGCGAGTGGTATTTATTTGTACGAAGTATTGTAGACCGCCTGGCCCCCACACCTAAACATAATAGTATACAGTGGACCCTCGACCAACGATGGCATCATCTAACATTAAATCCGACTAGCGATACATTTTAATCGCAAAAATTTTGCCTCGACTAGCGCTAAAAAACTCAACCAACACGATTCGTTCCGTTTGAGACGAGTCCACTTGTGGCCTGGGCACGCCAGTGTTTACAAGCCAGCCAGCCACCACAGTCCCATCCAAACATACAATCGGAACATTTCATATTATCACAGCATTTTTAGTGATTGCACCTGCAAAATAAGTCACCATGGGCCCCATGAAAGCTTCTAGTGCCAACCCTACAGCAAAAAGGGTGAGAATTACTATGGATATGAAGAAAGAGATCACTGCTAAGTATGGAAGTGGAGTGCGTGTCTCCGAGCTGGCCAGGTTGTACACAAAATGTGGGTGTCAATTACCAAGGTTTATGTCAAACCTTATTATACCTGAATCTTAGATACAACTCCTCGCATGCCAAATAAAGTAATTAAATATCTGTTGGCCTGATGGCTTCTCTAGTGTATGCCAAACATAAGCCTATATATTAATAGAAGAGTGTAAAACCTGTTAGGACCACACTGTGCCTGGAGAATGCGAGGATCAGGTTTGATCCAAGGGAGGATGGGTTAAATTCCTTGGAACAAGATCCCTCACCAGCATTAAGACACCACCATTGAGGGCTGTATACAGGATACGATATAGCAACACTGTAAAGGTTACAATAGGCTATGAATGGTTATAAGAGATTTAATGTTTTCATACAAAACTGTCAAATTAGTAATGTAAGTGTGACCTCTCAGTTGCACCCAGTTTTCTGCTGACAATCAGCAACAGTTATAACATGTAACTTTCATTCAGGTTCCTCACGTTTTTTTTACAAATGTTATTATATAAAACATGTATGTATTACCTGGGGTAATCCAACAAAATGAAACTAAGTGACTAAGTTGTACAGTGGAACCTCAATACTTGAACAGCTCCCTACTCGAGCAATTCAGCATTCGGCCGCTTTGTTCGGAAAAAAAAAAAAATGCTCAGTAGTAGACCGTTTGCTCGGCGCTTGACCAAACATACACGATCTGCCAGAACTTCGCTGAAAACTATTTTGTGGTTCTTCGCATTTTTTGGCATTTTTTATATTATTTGTACAAATAAGTCACCATGGGGCCTACAAAGATTAGTGATAACAGCCAACCAAAAAGAAAATTGGTTGGGAAAAATTTGCTTGCCACTCGAACAGATCGGCACTCAAACAGCCTTATGGCTGTTTGAGTAGAGGTTCCACTGTACTTGGTTGTACACTTGTCAAGATGATAATTTTGTTTAGATTATTAACCCAGAGAGTTAGTAACCCAGGATAACTGAATAAAATGTCATAATAAAAAATAATCTTTGTTTCTACATGTACATAATACAACCTATACAGACCATAGTTGATATCAATGACATACTATATAGAAAGTCCCTGGTTATGCAGAGCATTTCCTGCAAATAAATAACAAAAAGGCACAATACCATGACTGGAATACACAAATAACCCACATATAGGAAAGAGGAGCTTATCATGATGATTCAGTCCAACTTGGTCCAAGTCGGACCGAAACGTCGTCGTAAGCTCCTCTCTCCTATGTGCGGGTTATTCGTGCAACATTTCCTGCAACTTAGGTTAAGATGAGAGTTAAGACACTTGTGCAACATCTGGTTATCTTTATTGTAGACGTTTCGCCATCCAGTGGCTTTATCAATACAGATTCTTGGACATAATTAGAAAACAGAACAACTATACACAAAAGATGAGGTAATCAGCCCCTCAGCCTTGGTGGTGGTGTTCACAGCACCATGGTTGTAGAGATTCTGAAGCACAGGTAAGAAGACTGGCGCTTATATAGGCGCCAGTGAATAGGGACGTGTAGCAGACGAGGGCATAGTCACTGGTAGGCGAGATTCCCCAGTGGAAGTAGGTCCTACCCAAATAGACCTTCATGGCTTCTGCAACTAACCCATCTATTTGGGTAGGACCTACTTCCACTGGGGAATCCCGCCTACCAGTGACTATGCCCTCGTCTGCTACATGTCCCTATTCACTGGCGCCTATATAAGTGCCAGTCTTCTTACCTGTGCTTCAGAATCTCTACAACCATGGTGCTGTGAACACCACCACCAAGGCTGAGGGGCTGATTACCTCATCTTTTGTGTATAGTTCTTCTGTTTCCTAATTATGTCCAAGAATCTGTATTGATAAAGCCACTGGATGGCGAAACGTCTACAATAAAGATAACCCGATGTTGAACAAGTGTCTTAACTCTCATCTTGTCGGTATTGTATACCTGTCTTGCACAACTTAGGTTAATTTTTTCCCCAGGATGCGACCCACGCCAGTCCACTAACACCCAGGATGCGATCTACACCAGTCCACTAACACCCAGGATGTGACCCACACCAGCCCACTAACACCCAGGATGCGACCCACACCAGCCCACTAACACCCAGGATGCGACCCACACCAGTTGACTAACACCCAGGTACCTACTTACTGCTAGGTGAACAGACAGTAGTAGTATTGTAACATGACCAAACTAAGCAAGTAAAACACGTTAACAAAAAAATATGCTGAGCTTCACCTGAATTATAAAATAATAATCATGTACGTTCAGTGGAGCTAAAAAAAAGTTAGTGAATAATTATATAGTTATGCAAGTATAACATTAAACAATACACATGTAGTACAAGAATAATGAGATGAAAGTAGTTAATGTAACAGTGATAATACACCTGGAAGATTGCCTAGTTGTGGTCGCAGGGGTCGAGTCAGCTCCTGGTCCCTGGGTGTTTCCCCGACATATTTTAATAAAGTTTATTTCTTTGTAAAGGTTACAATGTGTACTTACAATTTTGATTTGCTAAGTACAAAGATAGCCACTATCATGCTGAGGCATTTTGGGTAGACTAATCCTAATACATAGTAACTAATTAAAACTAGATAATAGTACATAGTAACTATACTTAAAACTAGACAAGTAGTAGTGGTTAACTGTTTTACAATCTTATTTAAAGTTTATACAAATGTGAGGTAGTAAGGTGGAGTAGGGTTCAGTAAAATAATATTGAAATTGCACACAAAATCTACCTTACAAGTAATGGTGTAGGTGGTAATATTTTATGGATTGGCAGAATTAAGAGCCTAGAGGTCACATAATGAAACTAGTTAGCAGATGTTTTGGTTGATGTGGTTAATATTGTGAGATATGATTTTTTTTTTAGCAAAGTCCTAAATTTATAAGTTGTCAGGGGATCCCTGACCTGTTCCAATAGCAAGTTCCAGATCTTTGGGTCTTTTATGTGCGTAGTGTTGTATAGTGAGAGTGACTCCAGGGATGTTGAGAAGTGTCTGATGTCTTGTATTGTAACTGTCCATTCTGTTGTAACTGTCATGTAGTTTTAGGGGAGGGTTTACAGTGGAGTTTAATGTTCTGTATATATATAGTAGGCACAATAATGTGAGTGTATGTCTTGTATATTTAGCAAGTTGAGTATTTTGAAAAGTGGTGGAGTGTGGCCCAGGAGCTGGTTATCACCCGCACACCAGCTTTTTGTTGGATTATTAAGGGTGTAGGGTGGTTGAGCCCCAGCCACAGTACCCATCACAATGGAAATAAGTCAATGAGTTTTTTTTTTTAGGTTATCTTAGGTAATGTACACATATGATGCTATGTATAATAATTTATGTACACCTACATAAACTTAATCTACGTATGATAAGACAAAGGAAAATGAATGATGATAATACATATGTCTACTGACTATAATACGTGGCGTTTATTAACACTTTAATTTTTGATAATAGTCAGCAGCAGCATCTTAGAAAACTTAAGACAAAAGTTACTTATGTTAGACTAGACCAACATCAAGATATAAACACACGTAATACTAACCCAGTAATGTAGTCTAAGACACTAGACGCTACTGTTTGTCTTGCTATAATGTTCTTAGTCTCCTCTGGAGGTGGAAGTGGCACTTGTAATATGTTAACAAATGTTAGGCTAGTGTTGTAGTGGCGCTGGTAGCAGTAATATATGTTGTCTCTCACCATCACCATCTCTCTCATCATCACTTCTTCTCAATTTTCACTCATAATAAACATGACATCATTCAGAAATACAATCAATTTTTATTTCATCTTTTAAAATACTAGCAATATATACATTACAATATAATTTCTTCGTTGTTTTGATTCTTCTGAATGTATGGCTTCAATTAAGCGTTTAAAAATAATCTAATTAAACGAAACATTATGACAAATGCTGCGAATAAATAGAATTTATGAGAATATGTGAGCAGGCAAGGCTACGTTATAGTACACTAGCACGTCTGTGATTGGCTGTTTTACCTCTGACATCACCAGACACGTCTCTCATTGGCTGTTTCACCCCTGACATCACCAGGCGCCACATACAAATTTATTTAATAATAATACAATAATAATAATAATAATAATTTCTATATTTACTACAAGTACATGTACAAGGTATACAGACCATAGCTGACATCAGCAACTTACTACTATATAGATAGTCCCTTGTTATGCTGAGCATTTCCCGCAAATTAGGTCAGTTTTGTCGCAGGATGCGACCCACACCAGTCCACTAACACCCAGGTACCCATTTTACTGATTTATTTATTTATTTGTTTATTTATTTTATAATTTGAACATGCATACATAGGTACAAAAAATACAGGTAAGAGCAGCATGCCAAAGCCACTTGTATGCATAGCATTACAGGCAGGCTTAAAATTAACTTAAGATTAACTAAGCAATGATATAATCAGTGATAAAACATTATTGAAAACAGATAACAATAAAGCACAAATGAGTATTACAAAGACAGGTCATATGGTTGCATGCATTGTTGTACATTCAGTAGAATGGAGTATTCTGTTAGGTAGTGTATTTAAAAAATAACAAAGTTAGATTGGGTCTTAGGTTTAACATTTATGTGATATAATTGTGAGAAACATTTAAGATATACAATTTATAAGGTTCAGTTATTCAGTATTTATTTGGTTTTGGGTGAGTAAGTGATCTTTGAGAAGAGACTTGAATTTATAAACAGGTACAGATACAGATACTAATGCCGGAAAAAAATCCCCCCCCAGTACCAACAATACCACCAGTCCGATGACATTCTTCTTTGCAAATATACAGGGTCTAAAGCCAGCAACAAACAACAAAACACCTTTCATCAGTGGGCTGCTTGCAGAGGCAAAGGCAATGTTCGCGGCTTTCACTGAGACCCACATAAAGGATCACTTGGACAACGAAATATGGATCCCAGGTTACAACCTATACAGATGTGACAGAGTGAACAGGCAAAAGGGGGGGGGGGGTTGGCCTGTACATTGCAGAGTCACTTGTTTGCACAGAACTGCTTAATGCCTCAAATGATGTAGTGGAAGTTTTAGCAGTAAAAGGTCAAGAACCAAAACCTAGTTATTGTGGTAGTCTACAAGCCTCCGGATGCAACATCCCAGCAATTCCAGGAACAGCTGTTAAAAATTGACCACTGTCTGGAAAATCTTCCAGCTCCTGCACCCAACATCTTGCTCCTGGGGGATTTCAACTTAAGGCACCTAAAATGGAGGAATATAGCAAATAATATTGTTGCAGAAATAACACCAGGAGGCAGCTCTGATGAAAACTCACACTCACACGAGCTTTTAAATCTCTTCACAAAATTCAATTTAAACCAGCAAATAATAGAGCCTACTAGACTGGAGAATACACTAGACCTCATCTTCACTAACAATGATGATCTGATAAGAAATGTCACCATATCAAAAACAATATACTCAGATCACAACATAATTGAGGTTCAGACATGTATGCGCAAAGCCCCAGACCGACATAATGAGACTAGTCACGAGGGAGCATTCACCCAATTCAACTTCAATAACAAAAACATAAAGTGGGACCAAGTAAACCAAGTCCTAACCAATATAAGCTGGGAAGATATACTAAGCAACACAGACCCCAACTTATGCCTCGAACAGATTAACTTGGTGGCACTCGATGTATGCACAAGGCTTATTCCTCTAAGAAAAAGGAGGAGTAGATGTAAAATAGAAAGAGACAGGCGCTCCCTTTACAGGCGACGGAAAAGAATAACAGAGCGGTTAAAAGAGGTCAATATATCTGAAATGCGTAGGGAGACACTGGTCAGAGAAATAGCAAGCATCGAACTTAAGCTAAAGGAATCTTATAGGAGTCAGGAATCGCGGGAAGAACTAAAAGCCATAAATGAAATCGAAAGAAACCCAAAGTATTTCTTCTCTTATGCCAAATCAAAGTCGAGAACAACGTCCAGTATTGGGACCCTACTTAAACAAGATGGGTCCTACACAGATGACAGCAAGGAAATGAGTGAGCTACTCAAGTCCCAATATGACTCAGTTTTTAGCAAGCCGCTAACCAGACTGAGAGTCGAAGATCAAAATGAATTTTTTATGAGAGAGCCACAAAATTTGATTAACACAAGCCTATCCGATGTTATCCTGACGCCAAATGACTTCGAACAGGCGATAAATGACATGCCCATGCACTCTGCCCCAGGGCCAGACTCATGGAACTCCGTGTTCATCAAGAACTGCAAGAAGCCCCCATCACGAGCCTTTTCCATCCTATGGAGAGGGAGCATGGACACGGGGGTCGTCCCACAGTTACTAAAAACAATAGACATAGACCCACTCCACAAAGGGGGCAGTAAAGCAACAGCAAAGAACTACAGACCGATAGCACTAACATCCCATATCATAAAAATCTTTGAAAGGGTCCTAAGAAGCAAGATCACCACCCATCTAGAAACCCATCAGTTACACAACCCAGGGCAACATAGGTTTAGAACAGGTCGTTCCTGTCTGTCTCAACTATTGGATCACTACGACAAGGTCCTAAATGCACTAGAAGACAAAAAGAATGCAGATGTAATATATGCAGACTTTGCAAAAGCCTTCGACGAAATCTTATCTTATCTTATCTTCGACAAGTGTGGCCATGGCGTAATAGCGCACAAAATGCGTGCTAAAGGAATAACAGGAAAAGTCGGTCGATGGATCTATAATTTCCTCACTAACAGAACACAGAGAGTAGTCGTCAACAGAGTAAAGTCCGAGGCAGCTATGGTGAAAAGCTCTGTTCCACAAGGCACAGTACTCGCTCCCATCTTGTTCCTCATCCTCATATCCGACATAGACAAGGATGTCAGCCACAGCACCGTGTCTTCCTTTGCAGATGACACCCGAATCTGCATGACAGTGTCTTCCATTGCAGACACTGCAAGGCTCCAGGCGGACATCAACCAAATCTTTCAGTGGGCTGCAGAAAACAATATGAAGTTCAACGATGAGAAATTTCAATTACTCAGATATGGTAAACACGAGGAAATTAAATCTTCATCAGAGTACAAAACAAATTCTGGCCACAAAATAGAGCGAAACACCAACGTCAAAGACCTGGGAGTGATCATGTCGGAGGATCTCACCTTCAAGGACCATAACATTGTATCAATCGCATCTGCTAGAAAAATGACAGGATGGATAATGAGAACCTTCAAAACTAGGGAGGCAAAGCCCATGATGACACTCTTCACGTCACTTGTTCTATCTAGGCTGGAATATTGCTGTACACTAACAGCACCTTTCAAGGCAGGTGAAATTGCTGACCTAGAAAATGTACAGAGAACCTTCACGGCGCGCATAACGGAGATAAAACACCTCAATTATTGGGAGCGCTTGAGGTTCCTAAACCTGTATTCCCTGGAACGCAGGAGGGAGAGATACATGATTATATACACCTGGAAAATCCTAGAGGGACTAGTACCGAACTTGCACACGAAAATCACCCACTACGAAAGCAAAAGACTTGGCAGACGATGCACCATCCCCCCAATGAAAAGCAGGGGTGATCACTAGCACTTAAGAGACCATACAATAAGTGTCAGGGGCCCGAGACTGTTCAACTGCCTCCCAGCACACATAAGGGGGGTTACCAACAGACCCCTGGCAGTCTTCAAGCTGGCACTGGACAAGCACCTAAAGTCAGTTCCGGATCAGCCGGGCTGTGGCTCGTACGTTGGTTTGCGTGCAGCCAGCAGCAACAGCCTGGTTGATCAGGCTCTGATCCACCAGGAGGCCTGGTCTCAGACCGGGCCGCGGGGGCGTTGACCCCCGGAACTCTCTCCAGGTAAACTCCAGGTAATATATGTTCTAGCATGTGTATAATAGCATCATTAGTATTTTTGTTAGGCCTAAATCCAAATTGGCAGGGGTTGAGAATGTTTTGGGAGATGAGGTAGGAGTAGATTCGTTTATGAATTAATTTTTCGAAGATTTTTGAGAGAGGGTGTAAGTTGGATATTGGCCTGTAGTTATTCAACTCTGGTCTCCTCCTTTATGGATCGGGGTGACCCTTGCTATTTTGAGAACTGTAGGGAAGGTAGAGGATTCAATGGATTTGTTAAAGAGTGTTGCAATGATTGGTGATAGCACTTGTGACAGTTTTTTGTATATAAAGGGTGGTAAGGTATTTAAATCTCCCGCCTTGTTTTTTAGTGTGTTGATAATAAGGGAGACTTCGTATGGGTTAGTCGGAGCTAGGAACAGTGTGTTCGGGTAGTTGCTGATGGATGAACATAGACAACCTGTGTAAAGAAACATGCCCAATGTTTCTACCTTCGCCGGGAATCGAACCCAGACTAAGTTATACACAAATGCAGTTACATTGGTTAACACGCACAGCAGCATATGTGTCGAGCATAATATTTCTTTAGTGATATTAATTGCTCAAACTCTATGTTATAAGGCAAATCTTACTCTCAGATTAATTTCATATCATAGTGTCAATCTATTTAAAGGTTGTTTTTATCACTACTTAATTTAGTTCCTTTTAACATTTCTCCTGAAATAATTCTCTATATACCAATACATTGTACTGCCCTTTATTCAGTAATTGCCATACTCCTTGTTCTAACAATAATTAAAGAGCAACTTTCAGGAGATTTAATATTTTTTTTCCCTCTTGTCCATATAGTCACATTTATTAAAATACTCCAGGTACTACTGACTACCTCAGGTGCTACTGACTACCTCAGGTGCTATTGACTACCTCAGGTGCTATTGACTACCTCAGGTGCTATTGACTACCTCAGGTGCTACTGATTTTGTTTTAATACATTCTTGTTTTAATACATTCTTGTTTTAATACATTCTTGTTTTAATACATTCTTGTTTTTAATACATCATTTTATTATTATATTCACTAGCTCCTTTATTCTAGCTGTAAATATCTACCGTAGTTCATAAACTCACATTTGTTAAAATAATTAAGGTACTAATAGATGCTTAATTGTATAACTGAATTATCTATACTGTAATAATCCCTTTTTCTTTTAAATTTTTAAAAGTTTTAGAATAATTACAGTCTTATTTATAAGTCTAGTTGTAGATTCAATATAAATCTTATAATATTTTACTCAGAAAATCTAGTTTGTAAAATTACTCTCATCCTATGATTACAGGCATAGATCCTGATGTAAACTTTTTACTAAATGAATTACATGAATCAACCAGTAACTGTAATTACTACACAGCAGACCAAGCAAAGACATTACTCAGTGCAAACAATAACATAACCATCTTTAACTACAATGTCAGATCCTTGAGCAAACATTATGATGACCTCACAGTATTACTCAGTTCCCTTCATTCCAATATATCAATCATCACACTCACAGAAACCTGGCTTAAGCCTGATATTACATATTTCTATACCATTCCTGGCTACTTGGCCATACACAACTGTAGATCAGACCAGCAAGGGGGAGGAACAGCTATATGCTATTCAAATCAACTCGAATGTATCAATAAATCTTGCACAAGGGATGAACATGGAGAATATATCATAGCCAAATTTAAATCAAAAGACCTGTAAAAACCCCTCACAATTATAAACATCTACAGAGTACCACAGTCAAACATTTACCACTTTAGTGAAAAACTAGGAAACATGATTACTGATGCACACATGAATAAAGACCACCTACTACTAACAGGTGATTTCAACATAAACATACTACACGACCAGGACCCACAAGTAACCAAATTCACAAACACAAAGAGTAACTGCCTGTTGCTACTAGCAATATCTAAACCTACAAGAATCTCCGAGACAAGCATCTCCTTAATAGACCACATCTGGACAAACACCATATCTCCTTTAAAATCAGGCATAATCACAGACAACACTACAGACCACTACCCAACCTTTCTCATAACTAATCTGGGCAAACTGCCACAAGAAATTACTAAAGTAACCTTCAGACTACATAAAGAGACAGCAGTTAACAACTTTATAGCAGCTACGAATAACATCGATTGGCAAAATGAGCTTGAAACATATACAGATATGAATGAATGTATAAATAATTTTCTAAAAAAAAGCCCAAAGCCTCTATAACAAACATTGCCCCCAAAAAACTAAACAGATTACAGCAAAGAGACTGAATAATCCCTGGCTAACACCAAGCATCCTCAAATTCATTAACACAAAGCACAAATATGAAAAACAGTATAGAATGGGTCAAATAACTAGAGAACAGTCTAAACGTTACTCGTCAGCACTTACCAGCCTGATAAGAAGATCTAAAAAATTGTATTATGAAAATAGACTACATAACATCAAAGGTGATATGAAAAAAACCTGGAAATTCTATCTGAAATTCTTGGAACTAAAAAGTTATCCAAAAACAAAACAATCAAACTAACAAAATCAGATGAACCCCTACTCACACCAACTGAAACAGCAAACAGACTCAATATTTTCTTCACCATAGGTAAAAATCTAGCGAACAAAATACCAAGCGTAAACACCCGTCCATCAGACTACCTCATAGGTACCTACCCAAATACACTGTTCTTAGCTCCAACCAACCCCATAGAAGTTACACTCATCATAAACACCCTTAAAAACAAGGCAGGAAACATAAACAGCTTGCCTGCTTTTATGTACAAAAAGCTTCTCAAGTATTGTCACCAATTACTGCAACGCTCTTTAACAAATCCATTGAATCAGCTACCTTCCCAACAATCCTCAAAATAGCGAGTCACTCCGATCCATAAATGAGGTGTCCAAGCTGACTTGAATAACTATAGACCAATATCTAATTTACCACTGCTCTTTAAAATCTTTGAAAATTAATGCATAGACGGATCTCTTCCTACCTCGTCTCACACAACATATTAAACCCTTGTCAGTTTGAATTCAGGAATAATAAAAGCATGAATGATGCTATCATACACATGCTAGAACTAATATTTACCGCACTCGAAAAGAAAGAAGTCCCGCTGGGCATTTTCATTGATTTACGTAAAGCTTTCGATACAGTCGACCATGAACTGCTGTACTCCAAATTAACGCACTGTGGTATAAGAGGCCACTCCCTAAACTACCTAAAATCATACCTTAGTAAACTAACTCAATATGTGTATGCAAATGATGCAAACTCTTCCACCCAACCAATCACAGTAGGAGTCCCACAAGGAAGTGTCCTTGGACCACTCCTCTTTCTCATCTACATCAATGATCTACCGAATGCATCCCAGCTAGTCAAACCCATATTGTTTGCAGATGACACAACATACGTCTTCTCCCACCCAAACCCAGTCATACTAGCAAACACTATCAGTGCCGAATTGCAGAAAATATCTGCCTGGATGATGACTAATAAACTTACCCTGAATACTGATAAAACCTATTTCATTCAGTTTGGAAACAAAGCTGCAAATGATCCGATTAACATAACGCTAAGTGGATCATCAGTCACAAGACTCACAGAGGGAAAATTCCTAGGTATCCACCTTGACAGTAGCCTTAAGTTCCGGACACACATACAACAAATCACCAAGAAAATTTCCAAGACTATCAAAGATAAGGTACTATGTTCCACAATCAGCTCTCCTGGCAATGTACCATACACTCATATACCCTTATCTTACATATGGGATTTGTGCATGGGGATCAACAGCATCCAGCCACCTAACACCCCTTATAACCCAGCAAAAGGCAGCAGTAAGAATGATAACAAATTCCCACTCCAGCCAACATGCTCCACCAATTTTCAAAAGTCTGAATCTGCTCACCATTAAGAACATCCATACTTATTCATGTGCCTACTACATACACAGAACAATACACGCAAATATAAACCCTCCACTCAAACTTCTCCTCACCAGCCTAAACAGGATACATGACCACAACACAAGACACAGATCTCTTTTTGATATACCTCGTGTCCATATCACACTGTGTAAAAACTCTATGCACATAAAGGGCCCCAAAATATGGAATTCATTACCAGAAAATATTAAAGTAACCCAGTCTGAAAAACAATTTAAGACTTCTCAAAAGCCACTTAATCGCCCTAGACTTACCTCATAATTTGTAATATTTTACATTTAAGAATAAAACTAAGTATGCCCGAAATGCCCAGCCATGCTAAGCGTTCTAGTGGTACACTCTGTAATCTCAATTTTACTACATGTTAAACCAAACAATAACCAAATTTCTGTAAACTCAGCATTGTAATCCTTATAGAGAATAAACTTTGAATTTGAATTTGAATTTGACTAAATGCTAAATACTCAGTACACACTTACTCACCTATGTACTCCCACATAATAATTGAAACAATCACTTTGAACCTTTTATCCATTGTTGACAGGAATATAATTGAACAACTGTTTTTCACAAAAAGCATTTTAGACTATATGAATATATCCTTTGTCTTATACAAAATTAATAATCTACTGTTCAACTATGAAATAATTACTGTCCTACTGTACAACTGTGATAAAATCCTTAGTGTTAAGTAGTCTGTAAGCCAATAATGTTAAGTTGGCCCATAATGCCTAGGCATAATAGAGGCTCTCTTTGCATTGCAACCCACTATTGTAAATATAAAATCTCAATGTACTTTTGCATAGACATAAAATAAATAAATAAATGAATAAATACCATGGAGAAACCAGACTGGATACGGCGTAGCTGTCAGTGGCCCTGATAAACCATCAACAACAACAACAACATGTGTCTCATGGTTGAAGTTACATCAGCTTAACATTATATATGTTGATACAATGGCAACAGATGAAACCATCTGTACGAAGAAAATTCGTGCCAAAGGTATGTATTAGTTACGTTATTTTGTTTCAACGTAAGTATTTATTGTTTGTTTCAGCATAAATATTTAAACGGCCTCAAAGCACAAACAACTCATAACATTCAACATTAACGTTGCACTGTACATTTATTGGTATTAAAATCCTTAAGAATAATTCAGCTAAAGTTTTTAAAGCTTTATCACAATATTTCAGCTTGAGTGTTGTTTATATCAGCTACATGAATATAAATCTCGAGTGTAAAATACTATAAAAATAATGTGAGATTTGAAGATTAATATTTATCATATATACCCATAGTATGAGGCAATAGTTAGAATAATACATAGTGGGTCCAGGGACTAGAGCTCTGTGTTATCATAGGTAAAGAAGTTAGTAGTAATGAACTATTTACTAATTAATGATCTAACAGTTGTAATGTGTTGTTTATATTCACATAAATTCACTCACAAAAACATTACAATGTTGCTTATATGCAGGTTTATTTTTTTTCATTAACAAAGTTCTTGTCTACCAGCGAGACAACGATCATAAAACACATGACACATGAAACACATGACACATGAAACACATGACACATGTAACACATGACACATGTAACACATAACACATGAAACACATGACACATGAAACACATGACACATGTAACACATGACACATGTAACACATGACATATGTAACACGTAACACGTGTAACACATAACACATGAAACACATGACACATGAAACACATAAATCATGAAACACATGATGCATGAAATGCATAAAACATATGAAATACATGAAGTTTAAATCATACAAAAACACATAAAACGTATGACATAAATGATACACATGAAACACATAAAACATATGAAACACATGAAACACTTGAAACACATGACACATGAAACACTTGAAACACATGACACATGAGACACTTGAAACACATGACACACATGAGACACTTGAAACACATGACACACATGAGACACTTGAAACACATGACACACATGAAACACTTGAAACACATGACACACATGAGACACTTGAAACACATGACACACATGAAACACTTGAAACACATGACACACTTGAAACACATGACACACATGAGACACTTGAAACACATGACACACATGAGACACTTGAAACACATGACACATGAAACACTTGAAACACATGACACACATGAGACACTTGAAACACATGACACACATGAAACACTTGAAACACATGACACATGAAACACTTGAAACACATGACACACATGAAACACTTGAAACACATGACACACATGAGACACTTGAAACACATGACACACATGAAACACTTGAAACACATGACACACATGACACACATGAAACACTTGAAACACATGACACACATGAGACACTTGAAACACATGACACATGAGACACTTGAAACACATGACACACATGAGACACTTGAAACACATGACACACATGAAACACTTGAAACACATGACACACATGAAACACTTGAAACACATGACATACATGAGACACTTGAAACACATGACACATGAGACACTTGAAACACATGACACATGAGACACTTGAAACACATGACACACATGAGACACTTGAAACACATGACACACATGAGACACTTGAAACACATGACACACATGAGACACTTGAAACACATGACACACATGAGACACTTGAAACACATGAAACACATGAGACACTTAAAACACATGAAACACATGACACATATGAAACACCTGATACACAAACACATGACACACATGAAACACATGACACATGAGACACTTAAAACATGAAACACATGACACATGAGACACTTAAAACACATGAAACACATGACACATATGAAACACCTGATACACAAACACATGACACCTGAAACACATGACACACATGAAACACATGACACACATGAAACACATGACACACATGACACACATGAAACATATGACACATGAAACACATAACACATGTTGAGAAATGGTTTACTAGCTAAGGTTAAAGTTTTAATATAGGGAAAACTTATCTGATAAGACAGCTATCGCCCACACAGCCGCCCGTGCAGGCAAGGTCTTGAGAAGCTGTCTTGACCACTTCTCAACAGCTTGAAATAGAGTATATTATGTATGATTATAAATTACCCCTAGGGGGTGTTATGTCAGCATATTTCAGACACTGGATTCTGATGACCCCTAAATTGTGTGGCTCAAAGGTCCATCATTATCACCGGGGTTTATGATAAGTGACTAACTCGTAACTTATCCTCAACTGCACAGTCAATAGTAGTACATCACGAGTTAGTACACTTACCTGGGTATATGTATCTGACCCGTAGTTACTCCCGGATATCCGATGTGTTGATTGAAGAATAGTGTTCTTTGAAGACTGTCGCACTACACTCTGTTGGATCGCAACACTTGTTGTTACACTGTTCATCAATAATTGTTCACACCATAATGTCATTAAAGAAGCTCATCACACTTCTCTGTAAGTGTTTATTGAGATTCTTTTGTGTTCTTTGTTGGTTATCCCGGCACGTCAATATCTCTCTCAGTAGAGTCAAAAGTAATCTGCCTCACAGCGTCCTACGCTGCTGCAGTGCCCCTAGAACATAAAGGAAAAGCTGACCTAGTACTTTTTGCTTCCTTGCCAAACTTCCTCCATGAAGCAAAGCAGAATGCTTGATTCTTGCTGTCTTAAACATAGACACTATCTTTATCATGGTAATAAAGTGGGAGCAGGATTTTCCTTAATTGTCCTGCTAAGGTAAGAGATGGACTGTCTCTTATTAACTACACTTTGCAACACTGGACTCTTGCAAGGAGCGGCGGTTGCTTGACCACGTCACATACTCGTATTGCATCTGGGATCAATTACTTGCTGTAGCACTAAACAAGATATTTGCCCCTTCTGAGAGGGCTGAGCCCCTCAGGACTGAAAGGGGCTGAAGGGGGCTGATACCCCCCTCCTGGAGAAAATTTCTCCACAACACATGAAACTCTTGAAACATATGAAACACATGACACATGAAATATGTGAAGCACTTGTAACACATGACACACATGAAAAACTTGAAACACATGACACACATGAAACACATGACACACATGAAACACATGACACATGAAACACATGAAATACATTTACTGTGATTCATTCACAGTTTGGATGTTCTTCCTTCAGTGTTCAAACACTGTACATCCTTCAGTGTTCAAACACTGTACATCCTTCAGTGTTCATACACTGTACCTCCTTCAGTGTTCATACACTGTACCTCCTTCAGTGTTCAAACACCGTACATCCTTCAGTGCTCATACAATGTACATACTTCAGTGTTCAAACATTGTACCTCCTTCAGTGTTCATACACTGTACCTCCTTCAGTGTTCAAACACTGTACCTCCTTCAGTGTTCAAACACTGTACATCCTTCAGTGTTCACACAATGTACATTCTTCAGTGTTCAAACACTGTACCTCCTTCATTGTTCAAACACTGTACATCCTTCAGTGTTCATACACTGTACCTCCTTCAGTGCTCAAACACTGTACCTCCTTCAGTGTTCATACACTGTACCTCCTTCAATGTTCAAACACTGTACCTCCTTCAGTGTTCAAACACTGTACCTCCTTCAGTGTTCATACACTGTACCTCCTTCAGTGTTCATACACTGTACCTCCTTCAATGTTCAAACACTGTACCTCCTTCAGTGTTCATACATTGTGCCTCCTTCAGTGTTCAAACACTGTACCTCCTTCAGTGTTCATACACTATACCTCCTTCAGTGTTCATACACTGTACCTCCTTCAGTGTTCATACGCTGTACCTCCTTCAGTGTTCAAACACTGTACCTCCTTCAGTGTTCAAACGCTGTACCTCCGGCTTTCAAACACTGTAAGTCCTTCAGTGTTCATACACTGTATCTCCTTCACCTGGAGACCTGGAGTTTACCTGGAGAGAGTTCTGGGGGTCAATGCCCCTGCGGCCCGGTCTGTGACCAGGCCTCATGGTGGATCATTTGTCCCGAATGCGGCCATCTGGTCCTGTCTGGCCTGAGTGCCTCAGCTGAGCTAGTGTGACATTGTTTACAAGCCAGGGCGGAAGGTTGCACGCATACATTCGATAAATTTTGTATTATTCCAGTGTTTTTAGTGCTTGTAACTGCTAAATAGGCCACCATGGGCTTATCGAGAACACCGAGAAACTATTAACCCCAGAGGGTTAGCCACCCAGGATAATTCAAGAAAGTCACTGTGTCATCGAGGACTGTCTGACTTATTTCCATTGGGGTCCTTAATCTTGTCCCCCAGAATGTGACTCACACCAGTCGACTAACACCCAGGCGAACAGGAAAAAATGCCTGGAACTAGTGCTCATATTGGTGAATTTAAAGCCAGCAAAGGTTGGTTTCAGATATTTAAGAATTGTAGTGGCATACACAGTGTGATGAGGCCTGTTCTGGAAGAAAATGCCGAACAGGACCTACATTACTCAGGAGGAAAAGACACTCCCAGGACACAAACAGTGTCTTATCACTCATCACCACATCTTCAATAAAGGTAAGTGTCGTTTATTCTTCATTTAGTACACTAGCACATGCACAATATATATTGTGCATGTATCCTTCTTTTTGTGTGTAGGAAAATGTATATTTCATGTGGTAATTTTTTTTTTCATACTTTTGGGTGTCTTGAACGGATTAATTTGATTTCCATTACAGTGGACCCCCGGTTAACGAACTTTTTTCATTCCAGTAGTATGTTCAGGTGCCAGTACTGACCGAATTTTTTCCCATAAGGAATATTGTGAAGTAGATTAGTCCATTTCAGACCCCCAAACATACACGTACAAACGCACTTACATAAATACACTTACATAATTGGTCGCATTTGGAGGTGATCGTTAAGCGGGGGTCCACTGTATTTCTTATGGGGAAAATTAATTCGACTTAGGATAATTTCGTCTTACGGTGTGCTCTCTGAAACTGATTAATATCGTAAGCCGGGGGCCACTGTACTGTATATCCAACATCTTGATGTTTGATATTATACTGTACTCTAATGTATGTCATTGCTGCAGTTGATGCATATGGCATTTCTTTTATAATCATTTAGTTCTTTGTATTATTGGGAGAAGTTTGTTCAGGTTATATTATACTATTAATTACCATCATATCTTAGATGTTAAGTTTTTCCACAGATGTATTTGAAGGTTACTTTGTGAAGCATCACCATGATGATATTCTCAGAGTGTTGCAAGCTCAAGTTGAAGAAGATCACTACTCTGTTATTATAAAGTAAGTGTCAACTGGTGATCATGTTGAATACCACTTTATTATTATTATTATATAAAGTGTCAGCTGATGATCGTGTTGAATTCCACTTTATTATTATTGTATAAAGTAAGTGTCAACTGATTTACAAGTTGAATACCACTACATGAATATATGTGTGTGAACGTGTTATATAGGAGTGAATGGAGATGAATGGTTTTTGGGACCTGACGAGCTGTTGGAGTGTGATCAGGGTAATATTTTGTGAAGGGATGCAGGGAAACCGGTTAGCTGGACTTGAGTCCTGGAAATGGGAAGTACAATGCCTGCACTCTAAAGGAGGGGTTTGGGATATTGGCAGTTTGGAGGTTGACGTTTAACCCTTTCAGGGTCGAGAGGCCCTCTCCTGAACTTGTTCTCAGGGTCAAAAATTTTTTCGGAAAAAAAAATTATTTTTACTTATGAAAAGATAGAGAATCTTTTCCCGATCATAATGACATCAAAAGTATGAAATTTGATGGAAAGCTTATGGAATTATGCTCTTGCGAAGTTAGTAGTCTCGGCGATGTTTATGCATTGGCGATTTTGCCCACTTTGAGCCCTATTTTTGGCCAATTCCAGTGTACTAGTCAACAAAAATCATAACTATTTCGCTAGATCTCTATTTTTTTATCGAATGAGTACAAGAAACCACCCATTTACTGATTTCAACTATCAATAAAGTGGTCAGAAATTAGCAATTTTGCCAGTTTCACACAAATTTCAAAAGATGCCAATTTCCAAATAGGGTCCAGAATAAACAAGACAGACATTCCTGGCACTAAAATAATATTTTTTCTGTTCATTAGTAACGTCCCCAGGCCCCTCTTACATTTCTTTTGCTTTTCACTTTGAGTTTTTCTCACAAAAATAGAAGATTTACTGTTATGAAGACTGCTGCATTAGTGTAGAAATGGTATAAATAATATCAGCGCACTTGTGAAAGAATATTAGACTCACCAGTTGACGTGTATTGGATGCGTGGCATGATTTGTTTACTTTTGAACTTTGGTAAAAATCGAACATTTCTGCTACTTTGAGCTCAATTTCAAGGTACTTTTCATTGTGAAACCAATCAAAATCATTTCTATTTCTGTAATATGTCTTCCATTCTATAAAATGAGACCAGGAAAACTAGAAAACAACCATAAATACTATACAAAAATACAGTGCAAAGTCGCTGTTTTAAACCAAAAACACAGTGAAAGTTTTTTTTTTCCCATTACACACTGTGTGCTGCAGGATTTTTTTTATACTGCGCACACTGAGCACATAGACCCATTCTTTCATATGTAGGCCTACCAGCTTTCTCTCGCTAGATTTGAAGGCGCTAGAATTTATGCGTACTAGTACGTTAATATCCCTGGTGCGTAAGCCGAAAACCCTGTAAGGGTTAAACTGTCGTATCTGAGCGCCTTTGCAAAGACCGTGATTATGTACGAGTGAGGTGAAAGTGTTGAATAATGATGAAAGCATTTTCTTTTTGGGGATTTTCTTTCTTTTTGGGCCACCCTGCTTCGGTGGGAGACGACCGACATGTTGAATAAAAAGATAAAGTAAGTGCCAACTGATTAATGAGTTGAATACCAATGTGTTATTTTTATATTCAAACTATTTTTTTTTTCAGTTTTGTGACTCTGTTTGAAGAACATGTGGAGGTGGCTGAGTCCTTATTAGCATCACCAGTGAAGCTTCTGCCAGTACTGGATGCTGGCCTGGTTGGTGCTGCCACCAGGGTCATGGAAGAAGCTGCACCTGGCAACCAATCCCTCACCATGAAAATCAATATTCATGCTAGAATTACTGGTAAAGTGTTCATTAAAGTTAATATGATAATAGTGTTACCTCCTCCTATAATGTATTGTGGGCAGCAAGAGTAGTGATGAGGTAAAGATGATGTAGTCAGTCCATCAACCTTGGAGAGGTGGTTTGGGGTGGTCAGTCCCTCAGTCTAAAGAGGAGTTTGCCTGACAAGGGCCAGTAGGCTTGTTGCAGTGCCCCATAGTTCTTGCCTTGCCACCTTCATAATCTTTGTCATCATCATCATCATCATCTTTTCTTCATCTTCTTATAATACAGTAGAATAACAGTTGAGCATAGGCATCCTGATGATGAGGATATCTGCATATTTGTCTTGTTTTCATTATACTTCATAGCATTATCAACATAGTGATTTTTATCACAGTGTAGCTTACTTTACCTTTTATTTAAATGTTATTCTGATTTCTTTCTTTTATAGAATAAATTTCATTAACCCTTAAACTGTCCAAGCGTAGATCTATGTTTATGTGTGTAGCGCTCCGACCTTTATTTTGTCCATTTGAAAGCATGTAAAAAAACGTAGATCTACGTTCGGACCTCTGCGCACGTGCATGTAGATCTATGTGTGGACAGTTTAAGGGTTAAATAGTCACACTCATACTGCCCACTGCAGTACAGTGGACCCTCGACTAGCGATGCCATCGATTAACGATAAATCTGACTAGCGATACATTTTATCACAAAAATTTTGCCTCGATTAGCGCTAAAAATCTCGACCAACACTATTCGTTCCGTCTGAGACGCATCCACTTCTGGCCAGTGTTTACAAGCCAGCCCGCCACCGTGGTCGCTTCCAAGCATACAATCGGAACATTTCATATTATCACAGCCTTTTTAGTGATTGCACCTGCAAAATAAGTTACCATGGGCCCCAAGAAAGCTTCTAGTGCCAACCCTACAGCAAAAAGGGTGAGAATTACTATGGATATGAAGAAAGAGATCATTGCTAAGTATGAAAGTGGAGTGCGTGTCTCCGAGCTGGCCAGGCTGTACACAAAACCCCAATCAACCATCGCTACTATTGTGGCCAAGAAAACGGCAATCAAGGAAGCTGTTCTTGCCAAAGGTGCAACTATGTTTTCGAAACTGAGATCGCAAGTGATAGAAGATGTTGAGAGACTGTTATTGGTATGGATAAACGAAAAACAGATAGCAGGAGATAGCATCTCTCAAGCAATCATATGTGAAAAGGCTAGGAAGTTGCATGACGATTTAATTAGAAAAATGCCAGCAACTAGTGGTGATGTGAGTGAATTTAAGGCCAGCAAAGGTTGGTTTGAGAGATTTAAGAATCGTAGTGGCATACATAGGTGAGGCTGCCAGTTTGGACCAAAAATCAGCTGAAAAATATGTGCAGGAATTCAAGGAGTACATAGACAGTGAAGGACTGAAACCTGAACAAGTGTTTAATGGTGACATTGACAATGTTGTGAACCACTTTAGGAAAGTCATAAAGGAACGAGAGGTACAGGTAACTATGGACAGATATGTTGTGCGACAGAAGTCCAGTGACTCTGAAGCTGGTCCTAGTGGCATTAAAAGAACAAGGGAAGTAACCCCAGAAAAAGACTTGCTGCCTCAAGTGCTAATGGAAGGGGATTCCCCTTCTAAACACTAACACCTCTCCCCTCCTCCCATCCCATCAATCATCACCAGATCTTCAATAAAGGTAAGTGTCATGTAACTGTGCATGTAATGTTCAGTTTGTGTGTATTAAAATTAATATTTCATGTGGTAAATTTTTTTTTTTCAATACTTTTGGGTGTCTTGCACGGATTAATTTGATTTCCATTATTTCTTATGGGGAAAATTAACTTGACTAACGATAATTTTGACTAACGATGAGCTCTCAGGAACAGATTAATATCGCTGGTTGAGGGTCCACTGTATTATGGAAGTTCAGTATTGTATTTTTTAACACTCTGGCCATCACCCACCTAGGTAGGGCGAGTTAAAGAAGAAACACTTTCACCATCACTCTATCACTGTTTTGCCACAGGTGTGCCAGTACCCATCAGACTGCCCATATCAGACTGCCCCATCAGACTGCCCATATCAGACTGCCCCATCAGACTGCCCATATCAGACTGCCCCATCAGACTGCACATATCCCCACCTCTTCTTCAGAGTACAGGCACTGTACTTGTACTGTACTTTTATTGTATTTTATAATTAATTTGATGCCTGATGCTCAATTTTTTTAGTAATTTTCAGTTGGAAACATCAATAATGTCATTTTCAAAATGAGGTTTTTGCCCTAGCGTCTCCACAACTCTCGTTCTCCATTTGTCATTTCAGTATGTTTGATCAAATAAATTAATCCTTGGAAAGATGCAGATAGTTTAGAAAAAAATGTTTCATAAAGTTTATGATCTATATTTTCTGTTTACACAGATATACCTTTATCTTACCTTAATGTAAGCAAAAGTTCAATATATTAGAGTAGCCAAGTTGATGACTGGTGTTTTGTGACTCAGTGAGAGCTCTCTCTAGTACAGTGGAACCTCGGTATGCGACCTTAATTCAGTCCAGAAGACTGTTTGAGTGCCGCTCCGTTTGAGTATCGAACAAGTTTTTCCCATCTAATTTTCTGTTTGGTGACTTATTTATACAAATAATACAAAAAAAAAGAAGCAAAAAATGTGAAGAAACACAAAATAGTTTACAGCAAAGTTCTGCCAGGTCATATTTTTTTGGTCGAGTGCTGAGCTTTGTTCGAGTAGGGAGCTGGTCGTATACCAAGGTTCCACTGTATAGTGTGGATAGTACTGTCACTCTTGTGTAGACAGTCATGTCATTTTTGTGTAAACAGTTCTGTCATTATTGTGTAGACAGTACTTTCCTTGTGTAGATGGTACTGTCATTGCTGTGTACACAGTAGTCATTATTGTGTAGACAGTAATGTTTTTGTTGCATAAATGGTAATGTTTTTGTTGCATAGACAGTAATGTTTTTATTGTATAGACAGTAATGTTTTTGTTGTATAGACAGTAATATTTTTGTTGTATAGACAGTAATTTTTTGTTGTATAGACAGTAATGTTTTTATTGTATAGACAGTAATGTTTTTGTTGTATAGACAGTAATGTTTTTGTTGCATAGACAGTAATGTTTTTATTGTATAGACAGTAATGTTTTTATTGTATAGACAGTAATGTTTTTGTTGTATAGACAGTAATGTTTTTGTTGTATAGACAGTAATTTTTTGTTGCATAGACAGCACTGTCCTTGTTGTATAGATAGTGCAGGTCAGCTATCACTAATCCGGCAATCAGTTATCTGCTTCCATCAGTAATCTGGCACTAATTTCGAATGGCATAATTTCAAATTTCATCATTACACTGACTCAAATTTCATCATTATACTGACTCAGAAATTGTGGAGATGATTGTAAATTCACAGCAGCAAGCCATTGGAGGAGAAAGCAGTGATGAAAATGAGGAAGATATAGCAGAAAGTAGGTTAATTGAGTGTATTCTAACCAAACCACTCTGTTAGTACTGTATTTTATACCATAAGGTTTAAGATAAACACTGTGTACAACACAAACAGTTGTTTATTTCCCAGAAATTTGGCATAACAAACATGGTTGTAAGTTGAGTGGTCGTGTGTCGAGCAGGTTGTAAGTTGGATGGTAGGTGTATTTAACACTATGTATGATAATTGTACTTATGTGTACCTTGCCTAAATAAACTTTACTAGAGAACATTATTACATACTGTATTTTTAATGTTACAGGGCTACCAACTTGTCCAGAACTGTATCGTCATGCTGTACCTCGTACATGTGATGTGGGACACCTGTTGTGTGTTTCTGGGACGGTGGTTCGTACAACAGCTGGTAAAATGCTTGAATACCAGAAGGAATTCATATGTACTAAATGTAAACATGTTTTTAATGTCAAGGTAAAAGTCTGAATTTTGTATTCTAAAGTTATGTTAATGACATGCTTGGAATTCACAGAATGGGTTGCATGATAGATTATGCCATACAGTAAGCACTTTCTTATTGTGAGACTTATATTCCTGGAAAATTTATGAATGGAGAATTTAGGAATATGGATATCTTGATTTACTTGGAAAACAGCCCATCCATGGATGTATGACTTGAAAAAGTGAATACATGTAAGATTATTTGACATTGTATTGTACCATCTGCTCAGTGGGTTACGGTTTCCCATTGGTACATCAAAAGTTTTTATTACCTTTATTTTATTTTATTTTTTTTAACAAGTTGGCTGTCTCCCACCGAGGCAGGGTGACCTAAAAAGAAAGAAAATCCCCAAAAAGAAAATACTTTCATCATCATTCAACACTTTCACTTTCACCTCACTCACACATAATCACTGTTTTTGCAGAGGTGCTCAGAATACAACAGTTTAGAAGCATATATGTATAAAGATACACAATATATCCTTCCAAACTGCCAATATCCCAAACACCTCCTTTAAAGTGCAGGCATTGTACTTCCCATTTTCAGGACTCAAGTCCGGCTATATAAAAATAACCGGTTTCCCTGAATCCCTTCACTAAATATTACCCTGCTCACACTCCAACAGCTTGTCAGGTCCCAAATACCATTTGTCTCTATTCGCTCCTATATAACACACTCATGCACGCTTGCTGGAAGTCCAAGCCCCTCACCCACAAAACCTTTACCCCCTCCCTCCAACCTTTTCGAGGACAACCCCTACCCTGCCTTCCTTCCCCTACAAATTTATATGCTCTCCATGTCATTCTGCTTTGATCCATTCTTTCTAAATGACCAAACCACCTCAACAACCCCTCTTCAACCCTCTGACTAATACTTTTATTAACTCCACACTTTCTCCTAATTTTCACACTCCGAATTTTCTGCATAATATTCACACCACACATTGCCCCTAGACAGGACATCTCCACTGCCTCCAACCACCTCCTCGCTGCAGCATTTACAACCCAAGCTTCACACCCATATAAGAGTGTTGGTACTACTATACTTTCATACATTCCCTTCTTTGCCTCCATACATAACGTTTTTTGTCTCCACATATACCTCAACACACCACTCGCCTTTTTTCCTTCATCAATTGGCAACTACCCGAACACACTGTTCCTAGCTCCGACTAACCCAACTGAAGTCTCCCTTATTTTCAACAAACTAAAAAACAAGACAGGAGATTTAAATACCTTACCACCCATTATTTACAAAAAAGTGTCAGGTGCTATCACCAATCATTGCAACACTCTTTAACAAACCCACTGAATCCTCTACCTTTCCTACAGTTCTCAAAATAGCAAGGGTCACCCTGATCCATAAAGGAGGAGACCACACAGACTTGAATAACTTCTTCTTCTTTCAACAAACCGGCCGTATCCCACCGAGGCAGGGTGGCCCAAAAAGAAAAACAAAAGTTTCTCTTTTTAAATTTAGTAATTTATACGGGAGAAGGGGTTACTAGACCCTTGCTCCCGGCATTTTAGTCGCCTCTTACAACACGCATGGCTTACGGAGGAAGAATTCTGTTCTACTTCCCCATGGAGATAAGAGGAAATAAACAAGAACAAGAACTAGAAAGAAAATAGAAGAAAACTCAGAGGGATATGTATATATATGCTTGTACATGTATGTGTAGTGTGCCCTAAGTGCAAGTAGAAGTAGCAAGATGTACCTGAAATCTTGCATGTTTATGAGAGAAAAAAGACACCAGCAATCCTACCATCATGTAAAATAATTACAGGCTTCTGTTTTACACTCACTTGGCAGGACGGTAGTACCTCCCTGGGCAGTTGCTGTCTACCAACCTACTACCTAGGACTTGAATAACTATAGGCCAATATCCAACTTACACCCTCTCTCTAAAATCTTTGAAAAATTAATCCATAAGCATATCTATTCCTACCTCATCTCCCACAACATACTCAACCCCTGTCAATTTGAGTTCAGGCCTAATAAAAATACTATTGATGCTATTATCCACATGCTAGAACATATTTATACAGCAATAGAGAAAAAAGAAGTCCCACTGGGGATCTTCATTGACTTTCGTAAAGCTTTCGATACAGTTGGCCACGACTTGCTCCATATAAAATTGTCGCACTATGGTATAAGAGGGCACTCCCTCAACTACCTAAAGTCATACCTCAGCAACAGAAGCCAGTATGTGTACACAAATGGGGCAAACTCTTCCGCACAGCCAATTACAGTTGGTGTCCCACAGGGAAGTGTCCTAGGCCCTCTTCTCTTTCTCATATACATAAATGACCTACCAAATGCATCGCAACTACTCAAACCCACACTATTTGCAGATGACACTACATACGTCTACTCTCACCCAAGCCCAGTCATGCTAGCCAATACTGTAAATACCGAATTACAGAAAATATCAACCTGGATGAGGACCAACAAACTTACTCTAAACATTTACTAAACCTACTACATTCAGTTTGGTAACAGAGCTGCAGATGTGTCTCTTAACATAATGATAAATGGATCACCTATCACAAAACTCTCAGAGGGAAAATTCCTAGGAATCCACCTTGATAATAGACTCAAATTTCAAACACATATACAACAAATTTCCAAAAAAATTTCCAAGACTGTAGGCATACTATCGAAGATATGGTACTATTTTCCACAGTCAGCCCCCACTCCCGAACACCGTAGCATTTACTTCTTTTACAACCCCATCTATAAATATATTAAACAACCATGGTGACATTACACATCCCTGTCTAAGATCTACTTTTACCGAGAAGTAGTCTCCCTCTCTTATACACACCCTAACCTAAGCGTCACTATCCTCATAAAAACTCTTGACAGCATTTAGTAACTTACCACCTATTCCATATACTTGCAACATCTGACACATTGCTCCTCTGTCCACTCTGTCATATGCCTTTTCTAAATCCATAAATGCAATAAAAATTTCCCTACCTTTATCTAAATATACTGTTCACATATATGCTTCAATGTAAACACTTGATCTACACATCCCCTACCCACTCTATAACCTCCTTGCTCATCTGCAATCCTACATTCTGTTTTACCTCTAATTCTTTCAATAATAACCCTACTGTATACTTTTCCTGGTATACTCAGTAAACTTCTTTCTTTCAACACATCGGCCGTATCCCACTGAGGCAGGGTGGCCCAAAAGGAAAAACGAAAGTTTCTCCTTTTACATTTAGTAATATATACAGAAGGGGTTACTAGCCCCTTGCAGCACGCATGACTTACGGAGGAAGAATTCTGATCCACTTCCCTATGGAGATAACAGGAAATAAACAAGAACAAAAACTAATACGAAAATGGGAGAAAACCCAGAGGAGTGTGTGTGTATATATATATATATATATATATGCTTGTACATGGATTTATCGGTTAAAAATAGGAGAGGAGAGTTATTAAATGGAGAGTTAGAGGTATTGGGAAGATGGAGGGAATATTTTGAGAAATTGTTAAATGTTGATGAAGATAGGGAAGCTGTGATTTCGTGTATAGGGCAAGGAGGAATAACATCTTGTAGGAGTGAGGAAGAGCCAGTTGTGAGTGTGGGGGAAGTTTGTGAGGCAGTAGGTAAAATGAAAGGGGGTAAGGCAGCCGGCGATTGATGGGATAAAGATAAAAAATGTTAAAAGCAGTGGGGGATATAGTTTTGGAGTGGTTAGTGCAATTATTTAATAAATGTATGGAAGAGGGTAAGGTACCTAGGGATTGGCAGAGAGCATGCATAGTTCCTTTGTATAAAGGCAAAGGGGACAAAAGAGAGTGCAAAAATTATAGGGAGATAAGTCTGTTGAGTATACCTGGTAAAGTGTATGGTAGAGTTATTATTGAAAGAATTAAGAGTAAGACGGAGAATAGGATAGCAGATTAACAAGGAGGCTTTAGGAAAGGTAGGGGGTGTGTGGACCAGGTGTTTACAGTGAAACATATAAGTGAACAGTATTTAGATAAGGCTAAAGAGGTCTTTGTGGCATTTATGGATTTGGAGAAGGCGTATGACAGGGTGGATAGGGGGGCAATGTGGCAGATGTTGCAGGTGTATGGTGTAGGAGGTAGGTTACTGAAAGCAGTGAAGAGTTTTTACGAGGATAGTGAGGCTCAAGTTAGAGTATGTAGGAAAGAGGGAAATTATTTCCCAGTAAAAGTAGGCCTTAGACAAGAATGTGTGATGTCACTGTGGTTGTTTAATATATTTATAGATGGGGTTGTAAGAGAAGTAAATGCGAGGGTCTTGGCAAGAGGCGTGGAGTTAAAAGATAAAGAATCACACATAAAGTGGGAGTTGTCACAGTTGCTCTTTGCTGATGACACTGTGCTCTTGGGAGATTCTGAAGAGAAGTTGCAGAGATTGGTGGATGAATTTGGTAAGGTGTGCAAAAGAAGAAAATTAAAAGTGAATACAGGAAAGAGTAAGGTTATGAGGATAACAAAAAGATTAGGTGATGAAAGATTGGATATCAGATTGGAGGGAGAGAGTATGGAGGAGGTGAATTTATTCAGATATTTGGGAGTGGATGTGTCAGCGGATGGGTCTATGAAAGATGAGGTGAATCATAGAATTGATGAGGGGAAAAGGGTGAGTGGTGCACTTAGGAGTCTGTGGAGACAAAGAACTTTGTCTCCACAGGAGACAAAGGAGGGGAATGTATGAGAGTATAGTTTTACCAACGCTCTTATATGGGTGTGAAGCATGGATGATGAATGTTGCAGCGAGGAGAAGGCTGGAGGCAGTGGAGATGTCATGTCTGAGGGCAATGTGTGGTGTGAATATAATGCAGAGAATTCGTAGTTTGGAAGTTAGGAGGAGGTGCGGGATTACCAAAACTGTTGTCCAGAGGGCTGAGGAAGGGTTGTTGAGGTGGTTCGGACGTGTAGAGAGAATGGAGCGAAACAGAGTGACTTCAAGAGTGTATCAGTCAGTAGTGGAAGGAAGGCGGGGTAGGGTCGGCCTAGGAAAGGTTGGAGGGAGGGGGTAAAGGAGGTTTTGTGTGCGAGGGGCTTGGACTTCCAGCAGGCATGCGTGAGCGTGTTTGATAGGAGTGAATGGAGACAAATGGTTTTTAATACTTGACGTGCTGTTGGAGTGTGAGCAAAGTAACATTTATGAAGGGATTCAGGGAAACCGGCAGGCCGGACTTGAGTCCTGGAGATGGGAAGTACAGTGCCTGCACTCTGAAGGAGGGGTGTTAATTTTGCAGTTTAAAAACTGTAGTGTAAAGCACCCTTCTGGCAAGACAGTGATGGAGTGAATGATGGTGAAAGTTTTTCTTTTTCGGGCCACCCTGCCTTGGTGGGAATCGGCCAGTGTGATAATAAAAAAAATAATAATAAAAAAAGCTCTGTTTGAAAGGTGCTTTGTAGTGACCTCAGAAACTCAACTGACTCTAAGAGAGTTTTGGAGAGATCACTTTAATATCCTCAATTGTGTAAACCTTATAGGTAAGGCTTGGGAGGGAGTGACTAAGAGGACCTTGAACTCTGCTTGGAAGAAACTGTGGCCAGAATGTGTAGACAAAAGGGATTTTGAAGGATTTGAGGCTAACCCTGAGAGGAGTATGCTAATTGAGGAATCAGTTGTGGCATTGGGGAAGTCCTTGGGGTTGGAGGTTAGTGGGGATGATGTGGAAGAGTTGGTGGAGGAGGACAATGAAGAACTAACCACTGATGAGCTGATAGATCAGCTTCAACAGCAAGAGGCCACACCTGAGGAAACTGGTTTGGAGGAGGGGAGAGAGAAATTGAAGAAGTTGCCTACTACAAAGATTAAGGAAATCTGTGCAGTGTGGCTGAAAGTGCAAACCTTTATGGATGAAAATCACCCTCACACAGCTATTGCAAGCCGTGTTGGTGACTATTACACTGACAATGTTGTGAAACACTTTAGGGAAGTCATAAAGGAACGAGAGGTACAGGCCACTCTGGACAGATATGTTGTGCGACAGAAGTCCAGTGACTCTGAAGCTGGTCCTAGTGGCATTAAAAGAAGAAGGGAAGTAACCCCGGAAAAGGACTTGACACCTCAAGTCTTAATGGAAGGGGATTCCCCTTCTAAACATTAAGACTCTCTCCTCCTCCCATCCCATCAATCATCACCAGATCTTCAATAAAGGTATGTGTCATGTAATTGTGCATGCCTTTTTCAGTTTGTGTGTATTAAAATTAATATTTCATGTGGTAAAAATGTTTTTTTTTCATACTTTGGGGTGTCTTGCATGGATTAATTTGATTTCCATTATTTCTTATGGGGAAAATTCATCCGCATAACGATAATTTCGCATAACAATGAGCTCTCATGAACGGATTAATATCGTTATGCGGGGGTCCACTGTATACACCTGGAAAATCCTAGAGGGACTAGTACCGAACTTGCACACGAAAATCACTCACTATGAAAGCAAAAAGACTTGGCAGACGATGTAACATCCCCCCAATGAAAAGCAGGGGTGTCACTAGCACGTTAAGAGACCATACAATAAGTGTCAGGGGCCCGAGACTGTTCAACTGCCTCCCAGCATACATAAGGGGGATTACCAACAGACCCCTGGCAGTCTTCAAGCTGGCACTGGACAAGCACCTAAAGTCGGTTCCTGACCAGCCGGGCTGTGGCTCGTATGTTGGTTTGCATGCAGGCAGCAGCAACAGCCTGGTTGATCAGGCTCTGATCCACCAGGAGGCCTGGTCACAGACCGGGCCGCGGGGGCGTTGACCCCTGGAACTCTCTCCAGGTAAACTCCAGGTAAATACACACTTAAATGTCATTCTTTTTTATACAAACATTGTATCATGCTGAAATAAAGTAATTTTTTTTTTTAAGACACATTCCGTCTACCACCAAGGCAGGGTGACCTGGAAAAGAAGAAACCCCTTCATCATCATTTACTCCACCACTGTCTTGCTAGAGGTGTGCCTACACTACAGTTATAAAACTGCAACTTATCACACCTCTCCTTCAGAGTGTAGGCACTGTACTTCCCACCTCCAGGACTCAAGTCCGGCCTGCCAGTTTCTCTGAATCCCTTCATAAATGTTACCTTGCTCACACTCCAACAGCATGTCAAGTCCTAAAAACCATTTGTCTCCACTTGCTCCTATCTGACACACTCATTCATACTTGCTGGATGTCCAAGCCCCTGACACACAAAAACCTTCTTTACCCCCTCCCTTCCTGAAATAAATTATTATTATTATTATTATATTATTATTATTATTATTATTATTATTATTATAATGGTGAGGATACTACAGCTCAAAGGCCATCTACACTGTGATGTCAGTACATTTCTGGCAAGGCAATGATTGAATGAATGATGGTGAATGTTTTTCTTTTTTGGGGGGACAGCTGCCCTACCTCAGTGGGAGACAGCCAGTGTGTTAAAAAGTGTAATTTTAAAATATGATGCTAATAACTGAAGGTAATAAATTGTAAATATAGTAATTTTATGGAGGGTAATGTACAAAAAAAAGCAGAATAATACAGTAAAATAAGATAATGTTCTGTTCACAAAATGAATATTGAACAGGATCAGAGTTATTCATTTAAGTAAAATAATATGATAACTAACAAATTGAATAAAACATTTATTAATACATATGAAAACAGTTACCAAGTAAGAAGTGAACACTATCCCATGCATTTGGTATCTTTGCAAGATTCTATGATTGGTCATAATAATTCAAATTTATGCAGTTGACAATGTGGATGATTGATTGGGCAGTATTTCAGCTTTTGCAAGAAATTTGTTTAGGTGTTTTACAAAGTGCATACTTAATTCTGTACCATGTTATTCCTCCTTGCCTAATACATTTAACCCTTTGACTGTTTTGGTCGTACATATGCGTCTTGCAAGCCAGTGTTTCGGACGTATATATACTCAATAATTCTAGCGGCTTCAAATCAAGCAGAAGGCTGGTAGGCCCACATGTGAGAGAATGCGTCTGTGTGGTCAGTGTACACTGTATAAAAAAATCCTGCAGCACGCAGTGCATAATGAAAAAAAAAACCTCCGACCATGTTTTTGGATTAAAACGCCGACTTTGAGGTGTATTTTTGTATAATAGTTATGGTTGTATTCTTGTTTTCTTGGTCTCTTTTGATACAATGGAAAACATATTACAGAAATAGAGATGATTTTGATTAGTTTCATGATGAAAACGACTTTGAAATTGAGCTCAAAGTAGCGGAAATGTTTGATTTTTACCAATGTTGAAGAGTAAGCAAATCACACCACATGTCCAATACACGTCAACTGGGGAGTCTAATATTCTTTCACTGCACCGATATTATTTATAACATTTTTATAATAATGCAGTAGTCTGCATTACAGAAAATCTTCTATTTTTTGTGTGAATAAAAGATCAAAATAGAAAGCAAGAGTAATATAAGAGGGGCCTGGAGATGGGACTAATGAACAGAGGATATGTTATTTTGGTGCAAAGAATGTCTGCATTGTTTATTCTGGACCCTATTTTGAAACTGGCATCTTTTTTAATTTGCGTGAAATTGGCCAAATTGCCAATTTCTGACCACTTTATTGGGTAATTGAATTCGGTAAATAGGCGGTTTCTTGTATTCAATTGATAGAAAAAATGGAGTTCTAAAGAAATAGCTATGAGTTTTGTCAACTGGAGCAATGGAATTGGCCGACAATAGGGCTCAAAGTCGACGAAATTGCTGATGCGTATATATTGCCGAAATCGCTAACTTCATGGGAGCATAAGTTTTCGATAAAATTTCCTACTTTTGGTGTCATTACTACTGGGAAAAGATTCTCTATCATTTCAAGAGAAAAAATAATTTTTTTTTTCCGAAAATTTTGTGACATAGAGTGACATTTTCAGAAATGGGCTTTCAACAGTCAAGGGTTAATTAGTCTGCCTTTCGTCATCAACACTGAACCTCTCCTCAAACTGTTCTCTCTGTCTTTCCAGTACGTCTTCCTCCCCATCTGACTTTTTCCATTTTTTTTTTTTTTTTTTTTTTTTGACTGTCTAGTATATTAAGTTAATGATATATTTTGTCTTTTCTCATTTTCAGGCAGATCATGACCAGTATTACCACCTGAATAAGCCAAGTCGATGCCCAAACCCAGAAGCTTGTTACTCTACAAACTTCAGTCCTCTTGGGGCATCTTCACCTCCTATGCATACTAAAGACTACCAAGAGATCAAAATACAAGTATAGTACAATAAAATTATCTGTGTTACAATAAGGATATAAACCATTTATTTAGTCAGCTTTCACTTATAGTTCTCAGTTTTAAATTTTGCACTTCTTCTTTTGATGAAATTATCACCCATATTTAGGGTAGAGTTAGAGAGTTAGAGCAAAGGAAGGGATAGCAGTAATGTTGAATGATCAGTTATGGAAGGAGAAACGAGAATATGAATGTGTAAATTCAAGAATTATGTGGATTAAAGTAAAGGTTGGATGCGAGAAGTGGGTCATAATAAGCGTGTATGCACCTGGAGAAGAGAGGAATGCAGAGGAGAGAGAGAGATTTTGGGAGATGTTAAGTGAATGTATAGGAGCCTTTGAACCAAGTGAGAGAGTAATTGTGGTAGGGGACCTGAATGCTAAAGTAGGAGAAACTTTTAGAGAGGGTGTGGTAGGTAAGTTTGGGGTGCCAGGTGTAAATGATAATGGGAGCCCTTTGATTGAACTTTGTATAGAAAGGGGTTTAGTTATAGGTAAAACATATTTTAAGAAAAAGAGGATAAATAAGTATACAAGATATGATGTAGGGCGAAATGACAGTAGTTTGTTGGATTATGTATAGGTAGATAAAAGACTGTTAAGTAGACTTCAGGATGTACATGTTTATAGAGGGGCCACAGATATATCAGATCACTTTCTAGTTGTAGCTACACTGAGAGTAAAAGGTAGATGGGATACAAGGAAATAGAAAATGAGGGAAGGAGGGGGAAAACTTTAAAAACTAAAGAAGGAGTTAGGGAAAAGATATAAACACTATTGGGGGGTAGAGGGCTATGAGAGCATAGGCAAAGGGGGGGTCGAAGAGATAGGGGTAGGTTTAAAAAAGTATGTTAGAGTGTTCAGCAAAGTTTGGGGTTACAGGAAAGGGGTGGGGGGAGGGAAGAAGCGTTTGGTGGAATGATGATGTGAAGAGATTTAAAAGGGAAAAAAATTAGCATATGAAAATTTTTTACAAAGTAAAGTGATGCAAAAGGGGGAAGGTATAGGAGAAAAAGAGAGGGGTTTAAGAAGGGAAGCAAGAAAAAAGAGAGCAAATGAAGAGGGGGTGAGATGTTATAACAAATTTTTTTGAAAAAAAAAAAAAGTCTTGGAGTGAGTTAACAAGTTAAGAAAGCCTAAGAACAAATGGATTTGTCAGTTAAAAATAGGAGAGGAGATTATTAAAGGAAAGGGGTTGGGGATTGGAAGATGGGGGAAAATATTTTGAGGAATTGTTAAATGTTGATGAGATAGGGAAGCTGTTTTTCGTGTATGGGGAAAGGGAGGAACAAAATCTTGTAGGAGTGGGAAGAGCCAGTTGGGTGGGGGGGAAGTTCGTGGGCATAGGTAAAATAAAGAGGGTAAGGCACCCCGGGATTGAGGGGATAAAGATAGAAAATGTTAAAGCAGGTGGGATATAGTTTTGGGGTGGTTGGTGCAATTATTTAATAAATGTATGAAAGAGGGTAAGGACCTAGGATTTGGGAGAGAGCATGATAGTTCCTTTGTATAAGGGAAAGGGGATAAAAGAGATGCAAAAAATTTTAGGGGGGTAAGTTGTTTAGTTACCTGGCAAAGTGTATGGTAGAGTTTTATTGAAAGAATTAAGAGTAAGACAGAGAATGGTACAGATGAACAAGGGGCTTTAGGAAAAGGGAGGGGGGTGGACCAGGGGTTTTTCAGTGAAACATATAAGTAACAGTATTTTAAAAAGGCTAAGAGGTCTTTGTGGGATTTATGGGTTTGGGAAAAAGGGGTATGACGGTGGATAGGGGGGCAATGTGGCGATTTGCAGGGGTATGATGAAGGTAGGTTACTGGGAAAACGTAAAAAGTTTTTTTCAAGGGTATGAGGGTCAATTAGAGTATGTAGGGGAAAAAGGGAAATTATTTTTCCCGTAAAAGTAAACTTAGACAAGGATGTGTGATGTCACCCTGGTTGTTTAATATATTTTTAGAGGGGTTGTAAGAGAAGTAAAGCGAGGGGCTTGGCAAGAGGCGTGGGGTTAAAAAAAAAGAATCACACATAAAGTGGGAGTTGTCACATTGCTTTTTTTTGATGACCTGTCTCTTGGGGGTTCGAAGAGAAGTTGCAGAGATTTGGGGGATGAATTTGGAGGGGGGCAAAAAAAGAAAAATTTAAATGAATACAGGGAAAGATAAGGGTTTTGAGGATAACAAAAAGATAGGGGATGAAAGATTGATATCAATTGGAGGGAGAGAGTAGGGGGGGAGGTGAATTATTTAGATATTTGGGAGTGGACGTGTCAGCGGATGGGGCTATGAAAGATGAGGTGAATCATAGAATTGATGAGGGAAAAAGGGTGAGTGGTGCACTTAGGAGTCTGTGGAGACAAAGAACTTTGTCCTTGGAGGCAAAGAGGGGAATGTATGAGAGTATAGTTTTACCAACGCTCTTATATGGGTGTGAAGCATGGGTGATGAATGTTGCAGCGAGGAGAAGGCTGGAGGCAGTGGAGATGTCATGTCTAAGAGCAATGTGTGGTGTGAATATAATGCAGAGAATTCGTAGTTTGGAAGTTAGGAGGAGGTGCGGGATTACCAAAACTGTTGTCCAGAGGGCTGAGTTAGGGTTGTTGAGGTGGTTCGGACATGTGGAGAGAATGGAGCGAAACAGAATAACTTTAAGAGTGTATCAGTCTGTAGTGGAAGGAAGGCGGGGTAGGGGTCGGCCTAGGAAAGGTTGGAGGGAGGGGGTAAAGGAGGTTTTGTGTGCGAGGGGCTTGGACTTCCTGCAGGCATGCGTGAGCGTGTTTGGTAGGAGTGAATGGAGACAAATGGTTTTTAATACTTGACGTGCTGTTGGAGTGTGAGCAAAGTAACATTTATGAAGGGGTTCAGGGAAACCGGCAGGCCGGACTTGAGTCCTGGAGATGGGAAGTACAGTGCCTGCACTGTGAAGGAGGGGTGTTAATGTTGCAGTTTAAAAACTGTAGTGTAAAGCACCCTTCTGGCAAGACAGTGATGGAGTGAATGATGGTGAAAGTTTTTCTTTTTCGGGCCACCCTGCCTTGGTGGGAATCGGCCAGTGTGATTATAAATAAATAAAAATTTAGGGTATCTATTAAATTTTGGCACTTTAAATGTTTTTATGCCATATTTGCATTGTTTTGTTGTGTTATGTAATAATTCTTGTGAGTGTTAGTGTAACAGTATAGTAATAATACACAGATATCCTCAGTTTAACCCTTAAACAGTTCAAGCATATATATACGTTCACTCGCGCAGCGCCCTGAATATTTTGAAAAAAAAAAAAAAGTTTTTTTTTATAGAAAAAAAAGAGCACTTTTTTTAAGTGTTTTAGAATAAAAAAAAATTAGGGTCAGTACTTACAGAGATATGAGGCCGAGAAGTTGGCACTGGATTCTCACATGACAGCAACATGGAGTCCTGCTGCTTGCAGAAGTGTTGCCGATATACCAGTGGGTTATGGCCGGTGTGCTGAAAGAAATCTTTCAGCACGCCGGCCATAACCCACTGAGGCAGGGTGGCCCAAAAGGAAAAACGAAAGTTTCTCCTTTTACATTTAGTAATATATACAGGAGAAGAGGTTACTAGCCCCTTGCTCCCGGCATTTTAGTCTCCGCTTACAACACGCATGGC